TCTCTCTCCATACTTACCTCTCAGTCTTCTCATTTGGTACCCTAACCTCCAGTCATATTAACTCCTTAGAAGCTGGCACCTCACTAACCACAGAGAGGGGGCTGGGGGAAGGAAGATGAGGAGAGGGAGAGGGAGGAAGATTCACAGGAGTCACACAGTCATTTCTTAGGTCTCCTTCCTTCAGAGGGCACTTCCTTTAGGAAGCATCCCCTCAGTTGCTCCTCTGCTTCCACCACCATCACATCTGGACTAGTTACTCCTGTTCTGAGTTCCCACTGGGCTATGCTTCTCCCTTCATGATATAACTATGTAGCTTTGTTAAAGGTGTGCTGACTGTGCCCTTCAGTAGATTGTAAACTGCCTGAGGGAAAAGAAGCCATCAGTCTTACTCACAAGTATATCCTGGCATCTAGCACAGTTTGCCATGTAATAGATTCTCAGTCAAAATATGTTGTTTTTAAAATGATAATACTTATTATTCTCTATTTTGTTTTCAAAGATTCCCCAAACTGAGGACAAAAGGAACTGTGCTGAGAAGCCAGTCACTCTTCCAACGCCGGAAGGTTCCAAAAAGCCAAATGACTTTTCCAGTTCTGCTCCAGATGCCAAAATAGGAGAAAGCGATAGACAGCCAAAAGAAAGCTTTTTTCAGTTTCTTGGTACCTTATTCAATATTTCAGGAAAATCATCTCTTGGGGAAGCCAAGCAATCTTCTTTCAAAGACAACCATGACAAAACTGAGAAAGATTTACGAAATCCCAGTGACCGGCATGAGGAAGGGGTCAGAAGGGAGCAGGAGACTGTCAACGGCTCCCTGGGAGCCCAGGCACTTCCTGCAGAGGAACAGGAGTCCCATGCAGCTAAACTCTCAGACGCCTGTTCTTTGGATACAACACAAGACAGTGAACAGGAAACCAGTGATTTGTTAAAGTAAGTTTAAAATTTACTTGAGCCAAAAAATTGAGCTTTTGGACCTAGCTGTCGAGACTTAGTTCTACTTCTATTAACTGAGAGCACTGGAAAAAGTATTCTGTAATGTGCCTGCTACTGGGTAAAGATTATATGATTCTGTGTACCATTCATATAATCTAGGGCCTTTTGAGCTATTTTATGGAGTGGTATTAATACCTTTTAGGTGCTAACTCTGTCATAGTACAAGATTTATTTCTAATTTAAGACTTCCTTGAACGGGTGTGTTTTCTGTTGTCTGAATTCTGCTTGTATTAGGACAGGCAGTGTGTTCAGTGTCTGCATTTTGGGAACAAAAATGGTTCTAAGGTTTGTATTCACATTCTATTAATATCTTTTCTTTGTGGAATCCAATTAAAGGGGTTAAGAAAAGAAATTAAATTGAATGCTATTTGTAAAACTAGCCTTATGAACCTTTTTCACAGCTCTAAGAAACTGAAATCTTGCACAAATTTAAGGAGCATTTTACCACCCTTTTTTTCTTTCTTTGATTAACAAACAAGCACTAACTTATTTTTCATTTTACTCAAATGAGCTGGAAGGAATATTTTCTACCCCAAAAATATTTATAACAGTGTTGAGTCCATTAGACATTTTGTGTAACATAAAAGTATTCACTTATTACTAATAAGGGTCTGTCTTACTGATTTTAATTTAATTTCTACCTAAGGATTATTTTTATTATTTGAAAAGGTCATCAGTAATACTGTAGTCAGATATAGATGAAAACTTGTAACTTTGTAGTTCCAAAGTGTCTCCATGTGTGTTCATGTGTGTGTTTTCAGTTAATTCCTCTTAGCAAACTTATGAGGTAGACACACACCCATCTTACAGTGGTGAGGACTGATACCCAGATAGCTTTGAGTTTGCCCGTCAAGACTGTTGTGGGGCTTGCCCTACCAGATATTAAAATGTACCGATAAAGCTACACTAATTGAAACAATGTCATACTGATGTAATATTTGCTAGACTTCTAAGTGGAACAGAATAGACAGTCTACAAATAGACCTTCATATTTTTGTGATTTGAACCTTTGAATATGATGGCATTGTGTACTCTTGTAGAAAGGAGGACTTGGGGAAATTGGTTAACAATTTGGAGAAAAAAATAAAAGATACTTATCTCATTTTTTTTTTAAAGATTTTATTTTTTTCCTTTTTCTCTCCAAAGCCCCCCAGTACATAGCTGTACATTCTTCGTTGTGGGTCCTTCTAGCTGTGGCATGCGGGACACCACCCCAGCGTGGCCTGATGAGCAGTGCCATGTCCGCGCCCAGGATTCGAACAAACAAAACACTGGGCCGCCTGCAGCAGAGCGCACGAACTCAACCACTCGGCCACAGGGCCATCCCTGATACTTATCTCATTTTTATATTAAAATTAATTAAAATAGAGTAGCAAATATTTAAAAACCATACAAAACTAAAAGTAGCTAAGTGTGAATTATTGTTTTATTTTGGTGAGAAAATTTTGTAAGCATGATCACGATGGAAAGTATCAGGAGAGAAAAGATCAGAGGTTAGATTACTACTAATTTTCAAACTCGATTATGTCAAATAACTTAAACAATGATATGTTAAATTGGCAGATGAGAAAATTATATACAGAAAATGTCCAAGAATGCTTTAACTGGTAAGCATTTTAGATACTAAGTCACCAAGAGAAAAAAAATGGGCAAACAATATAAACATATCATTCAAATAAAAGAAATGTGAACTGCTAATAAATAAGTGGAAGGAAGGTTTAGTCTCACTAGCAATCAAGGAGATGTAAACTAAGATAAGATAACTTTTGTCCTGTTAAATTGATAACTAATAATAAATGATCATACTCTGTATGAGTCAGTGTTGATATGGCTGATGCTTGCATACAGTGTGAGGGTGGAGGGCACATTTTAGGGCAGTATCTGTCAAGAACTTTTAAAAATCTTGTAAGTTATTTCTAATGATGTAAAAAGATGTTTACTGAAACATTTATAGGAACGTATAATTGGAAACAAATGTCCAACAGCAGAAAAATGGTTAAACTGGGGTACATCTGTGATGGATTGTGTAAAGCAGTGCTATTCAGTGTGGTCCTTCAATAAGCAGCATCAGCATCACCTGGGAAACATTAGAAATGCACATAATCTGATTCAGACCCACTGAATCAGAATCTTTGGGAATGGGGCCCAGCAGTTTTCTAACAACCTCTCCAGGTGATTGTTCAGTTCCAAAGTAATTTAAAATTGTGGGGATTTTGAGGCTGTTATATGGGAATGAGGCAGAAGGGAAAGTTTGTGCTTTTTCTCCTTTGGTTTTGATTAGTACTGAAGAAACAAACCTGAACTACTAGATGATAGAACATGGAAGAGGCTAATTGCTTCTTGTTTCTTGTTAGCAAACCTCTCCTTATCAATAGAATAATTGCTTAAAGCAATTCACCAGAATGACCTGAGCAAAGACAGGCGCTGTCCCTTACTCTAGTATCAGATGTAATTTTTTGATCACTATTAGTCACTATTAATACAGTTTTCGAAATTTAGATGAGTTATTACCTATAATTTGAAGTGTGTTTTAAAAAATCCTCATCAAAAGGCATTGTAAATGATTTCATCTTCACTTAATTAGAAATAATAAGCAGCTTTGTAATTGTTTTTACTATATGTAGTTGATGTTCACACAATGACGAAATCACCTAATGATGCCTTTCAGAACATGTGCTCATTGTTAAGCGACTCATGACTGTATAGGAAGCTACTTCATTGTTGGGTTGAAATTCTTTAAAAAGTGCTATAATTCTTGTATTTTCAACATTCATAGCCATCGTCCAAGCTTTATTGTGATTTAAAAAAAATTGCTGGTTTTGCAGCTTTTCTTTACGTAGAAAAATTAAAAGCCTTCCCTATTGTGAGAGAAGATAGTGTTAACTAGGCAATTTGAAAAGAAATAAATCTTAACACTAAAAAAGTAGCTCAGTCATACTTTCCTAAAAGTGAATTAGAAAATTTTGCTCTGAGGCTATTATTTTCAGGCTGCTATTATAGAATTTCTTTGCAGAATGGCGCATGACTTTGGTGGACCTTTGTGGTGTCAGGTGTGTCCAGATTTGTCCAGAATTGCACACAGCTGTATGCAGCACCTGGTGGCTTAGTAAACCTTCACGAGATGGGTAGTTATGTCTAGGCTGAAATGCGTAAAATTTTTTCAAATTTCTTAAATATTTGAAATTTCTAGACATTTCCATTTACTATTGTTTGGATCACATACCTTTGGTTATATAGGATAAACTATAGATCCATGCACAATGCACAAACCATGCACAATGACTAATGCATGAAATTAATACTCCCTTTTCTCTCTTCAGCTTGTGAAAATAAATCTTTTTGTTTAATTTTCCATCTTCAGTTTATTTTTAAAATTATATGTTGACATTTCCATTTTCTATTTTATTTACTAGGCAAAAATTTACCAATTAAAGAACAGTTTTATGTTCTTAATTCTATTTAATTATGGAAACTCAACCACAAATTGTGAAAGAATGATGTAGAAAATAGACTATTTTGGTGCGACTAACCTTTTAAAAAGTGGGAGTGTAGCTCATGAGTACTTGCAAAAACTAAATATAACACGTGAAGCTAAGCTTGAAACGTCAATGTTCAATGCTTTAAACATGATAACATAGTTGTTTAGTATATAAAGAATGCACGTTTTAGTTACAAGCATTTAACATTTCCACCCAGGGTGCCACAGGAGATTATCTAGTTAGAAATTTAAACTAGTTAATGTAATTCAATTTAATCATTTTAGTTGAAAGTACCCAGAAAGCCTGAAAAAATAGAAAACATGATCCCCCCAACAAAGGACCCCAAATCTACCAAAAGGCATTATTACAATGAGTTGAAATTTAGTGGACTTTTGCCTGTAGTTTATTAGAAGTCGTTTTAGATCAAAAGTAACATTTCTGGGTTGATGCAGATATAATGCCTTGAGGTCTCGTTAGGAGGGAGTCGGAAGTTAGAGAATCTCTGTTTATTGTACTTGAAGGATAAATTCTGGTCCTTATCTCTCATTGCCTATTTCTGTGGACATTGTGTACATTTCTTTGTGTATTCATTTCTTCAGAATTATTTTGGTGATCTTTTGGGGGGAAAATTGGCAGCCTTTTGAAAGTAGGTTTTAAGTATAAAATGTTAAAGCTTTGAAAGAAAAACCAACCAAATAGTAAAATTTGTTGTCATTTATTCAGACTTCTGGATGTTCATATGTTGCTCTGAAAGGCTCTTATATTTTCTGAATAATTTATGTATTTTGATATGGGGTTTCTCCAGTAACATTAATTTACCTGTATGTATTTATCCCTTCTTGCATGTTTTCTTAGACAGGTTACTTTATTCAGCTTTTGAGTTTGTTTCATGACAGTCTTTGATCCAGCCTGAAACTCAGGCAGCCGAAACCACTTTTGCAAGGCAAAACATTTCTCTATACATCTCCTTTAGCTGCTTTATAGTGGGCAGTAAAAACAAGTGAATGTCACTAGTACAATTTTTTATAGTAGTGGTGTGATATGATTTTAGGGGCCAGCAGTTACAGATTGAAATAAATTATTTCAGCTAAAATTCAAGAAATATATAAAAGGCATAGTTGGTGAAGATTTTACATGTCAAAGGAAGTTTACTTTCTGTTTTATCATTTAGACAAATCTAGTATTCTGAATGTTATTGCTTTAAAGTTGAGAAGAAAATACATTATTTTAGCTATTGGAGTACTGATAACTGGATTTCTTATTCATATGGATTCTATAATGTTTTATTAATTATATGTTTAATCTGAAAAAATGAGAACACACATCAAATTTTTCTACCATACGTTTTTATGGTCAGGGCACTGAAATGCGGCTAGAGTTCAGAATATAAGACTTTTATATCTATAAGAATTAACACAGTCTGAAATAAATTTCTCAGCATTTGTTATCATTGCTTTACTAAGTCATTCATTAATTCACAAAAAGTTATGAAACACATACCATTTGCCAAATCTTGTATGGGGCACTTAAAAATACAAAGATGATTAAGACATAGTGCCTTCCTTCTAATAGCTGCCAGGCTCGTGCAGAAGGTCATGCAAAGATCTTTTTAATGTAATATGACAAATGCTCAGGGTCCTTTGCCCCCACAGATCAGAGGCTAACTGCCCATTTTAGGAATGAAGGGGTCCCGGAGTAGCTTTGCATTGGAGAAAACTTGTGAACTGAGCCTGGAGGACACTGGAGTTTCTCCCCAGGGCTGGAATTAAAGGGGAAAGAATGGTGTGTGTAAAGGGCTGGAAGGTGGCACAGCACAGCGTGAGGACTCCCAGAGGTGGGTTCTTCAGAGGAGGCTGGGTGTTGAGAGCATCAGGAACTTCATGCTGGGGTTGAGAAAAAGTGGAGAACTTTTTCTAGAAATCCTTTTTCATTTCTTCATTTACCCAAACAATTTAATACTCATTACACTAATTGAATATTTGAAAAACTTAACACGAGAGGGGATTTTTGAGGAGATTTTGTCATTCATTGAGTTAAATACATACCGAGTATGTACCGTGGGCTAGACATCTTGCAAGGTGGTTTCCTTTAAAACCTCTTCTCCTGTGTGCTCAAAGTTGCTGTTCAAATTCACATCTAAGTTTAAAGGAAGAGAAGCTCACTATGATGCTCTGATATGGTGGAGAAATCAGTCATGTATCCCCATGATCTTGTGGTACCAATGTGAGGCACAAAGGCAGAGTGGTTCCTTTCAGACAAATGCTCCTTTGAGATTAGAACTGGAACCCAAGCCCCTGCCTTGTCCGCCTGTGTTCTCCGTTAACTGGTGAGAGATGCATATGATCAACTGACAGGGAACAGTTCTAAGGAGCTCAGACAGTCATGCTGCCTTGACATTCACATGCTGCTTGTCAAATCTTTATTGTTATTATTTTTAGTAAAGATAGATTTAACTAAAGCATGTTAGGATTTCCTCCCCAAATTAGTACATATTAAGAGTAGGAGTATTTGGAAGATATACTTCACCACAATTTCTGGGCTTACTTGTTAGGTGTTACTTATTATATTTTCTGATACTCTCATGCTGTTTCTTTTTACAGACAAATGAATGGTAAACTAGAGAGGCCTTCAGTAACATATGCAACGTATCGAGGCCCCAGACAAATCAGGAAATATTTGAGGCAACAGACTGCATTAGAAACCGTGAATGCCTTGGGCAGAGAAAATGAAAATTCTGACTCTAGTGCAAGCACATATATTGGCCCTGGAAGTGACATTGAAGCTGGGATGGTGCCATCATCATCAGCTTGCACAGACATAGCTATGAAAGGACATTTGCTCGAGTGTCCATTAGAAGACTGTGATTGTAGCAAAATAAATCTCAGCACAGGAAGACATCCGACAAACGACCCAGAACTGGAGAATATTTCTTCTTACAAGGATGTCTTAAATAAAAACGATCCTGGGGGACCGGAGAGAAGTAGGTCATCGCCTTCTTCTGTGACTAACTCCAGCTCCACTGCTGGAGAATCTGACTCACAGCACCATTTAAGTTGTGTACCAGTTTCTCAGACTGACAGAAATTTGGAATGTTTAGCATTGTTTACAGGAAGTAACAGTAGTGAAGTTCCTTCCAGTCCAGACTTTCAGAGGATAATTACAACAGAAACTATAATAAAAGAAAATAGCTCTGTGATGAGTGATGGGACATTGGTGCACAGAGAACACCATGTTGAGCCTGAGAGTCCTGGTGTTTCTGCCTTCTCTTGGAGTGAAGCTGATGGAAGTGACACTACCAAACAGGAAAGTACACATTTTCCAAGTTCAAATAAACCAGTTAGGCATGGAGATCTGCGGTTGCCAGAGAGTAGGTGTTCTGACAAGCAGACTGTAGGGAACTCCTCAGAGCAGGCTGCCGGTCACAACAGCACCCTTGCTTTTCAGATGCAGGCTGAGACAGATGCAGAACTTGTCAATGAAGGAAATAGGTCATCTGCCCAAGACTCACAGGAAAATTTGGTTTGTACAGAAATCAGGCAAGAAACAGAAAGTGCCTCAGTTGGTGAACCCACAATTTCAAGTCATGTAAAAGCTCCAGAAGGTAGAATTGAGTCATTACTCAAAGATAATGACCAATTGTTTATAACAGAAGACAAAAAGCTTGATTTTAGGCCACATGGCAAATTGCCTCAGGCTATTAGAATAAATCAAAAGGACCCTGCCTCTGTAAAATGTATCAGTGAACCAGTGGTTGCAGCATGCTTAGACAATAAAATAACACCAGAACTGAATTTTGAACTTAATAGAAGTCACATTTCAGAATCTATTCTTGGCTCTGAGTGTCCTCAACAAGCCAAAGTGTCACCTGATGCCAGAACATCTCTTACCCAAGACTCTAAAGAATCAAATTTCACCGTTTCACCCCCTACCTTTGTCTCTGGAGTTGGCATGCTGAGCAAGTTGGACATTCCTCTTTTAAAGAATGAGAGTTATTCTTTGCTCATTGAAACTGAGGATGTCAACACTGGTGGTATTTCCAATCAGTCTAGTAAGTGTAAAGAAGAAAATGTGGCAAAACAAGTCGTGGCTGCAGGAAGGCCTGCTTGCCTTCGCCTTGAGCATGCATCTGCAATTCCTGAATCCAAGGAAGTTCTTCCTGATAGTGAAAAATGCCAGGTTCCACTAGATCTTAAAGTAAGTGACACCCACTTAACTGGAGTGGACTCGAGATTTGAGTCTGAACACATCTCTAAGGACTGCAGTTCCATTTTATCTCAACACCCTAATAAAACAGAGTTAATGCTTTCAAACACCAAAGCAAGTGAGAACACCATAAAGAGGTCTGATTCTCTTTCCTTGGAAACAAAAAGTGATAACATTGCTAAGATTTTCTTAGAAGTTGATGGTCAGTACAGTGTTCCTGTTGAGTCACATTCTGGAAGAGGAAAAACTGTAGCTGTCTCCAAGATATCCATTTCCCAAACAGAGCCCAGAGACATTTCTCAGGATACAGTTTCTTCTTCATTCGAAATTACAGATGTGCCAGCAAAGCCTATTTTATCAGAATTAACTTCCCTAGAGTTTGAACAGAACAAAAGTTTTCAATTGATAGATCATAAGGAGGTGACAGAGAAATATCAAAATGCTGGCCTTAAAGAGAATTGCCAAATTGAGATTTCTTCTTTGGCCTCCAAATATCAAGGTATACAGGAAACAGAGGTAGAAGCCTTAGGTTATCCTTCTGCTTTTCTCAAAAGTAATATATCAGGGATTTTACCTCCTGTTCGTGATGAAAATGTCACTAAGCAAATGATGCAAAATTGTGAAGCCAGTGCTTGGGTGATTTGCCAACCTTTAGATATTTGTGGGACTAAAAAGATTTCTGGTTTCTCAGAAATGGCAGAACTCAGCTTAACTAATACTTCCCCAAAATTCCAAGAAACTGACAACACAAAAGTAAATTCACCTCTTCTGGGTTCTGATACCAGTTTGGAAAAAAAGGCTTTTGCTTCTGAGGATTCAAGCTTTTGTAATGTTCCTTCTGAGCTGAGATCAGAAAAGAAAGTCATGTCTCTCAGAGAGAAAGAGAACCCTCATTTCTTAAGTGGTGGTATTGGTAGGGTGTCATCTTCCTCTAGTTGCTCTGAAGAAGCTAGCATGGCTGCACATTCACATAACCCTCCCAATAATTTTGGTTCTGTAAAAGTCACCACAGATGTCACACAGGAAGGTGCCTCCTTAGCTAACCTGCTGGACCCTAACAGCTCTTATTTGGAATTTGAAACATCTGTCTCAACAGAGGCAGAAGTGACTCCATTTCAGGAATATGTTGGGAATCCTCCTGGAAAGTATCTCAATTTCCCAACTGCTGCCCAATTTGACAGTCCCATGGAAGCTGAGCCTGGAGCAGTTGCTGAGCCTTCAGCGTCAGTTAACAGCTCAAGCCTGCAGTGTTCTGAAGCATCTGCTGAGCACGTAGAAGCAAGGGGGAGAGCACATGACCAACTTTTGGACTTCAAATGTGGTTTACTTAAAAAGGCTGACACATTGATTGGTGAGATTTTTAATTCTGTCAGGGAGGAACTAAAATCCAAACATACAGTTGATACCTGCCAGGAGCATATAGCCATAGACAGCATAATGAATCCAGGTACCCTGAAAGAAGACACCCCTGAGAAAAACCCACAAGAAGTGACACGGGCTGGCATCCGGCTGGCAGAGCATTTGGAAGAGCAGGTCATGAAAAACATGTTGGAAGTCCAAGGGGAAGAAAAAGCCCGTGTTTCACCTACAGCTGGTGAGAAGAGTCTCCTTTTTGATTCTGATAGAATGAATGTGTCTTGTTTGTTAGAAGATCAAGCTAGGAAATTAGTCAATGAGATTATTTATTCAGCCCAAGAAAGTCTGACAAATGCTTTTGAAGATACTGAAGATACCTGCACTTATGAACTTCAGGCTAACCCTTCAAAAATCCTGAACAGTGATGGTGGTAAGCCACATGATATAGTCAGGGAGTTCTTGGTGTCAGAACAGGCAATAAATCGAAGCACATGTGAAATTAGTGAAAATAAAGCGTTAGGTAGATTATTCTCTGTAAGTAACTTAGTTAGTGACACAGAGTCTATTAAAGGAAGAGAAGTAGTTCTCTACCAAAAATCCTCATTTTCTGGAAATGGAGTGGGACAGTCTGATAGTATAGATTTGCAGGAATCAGAAACTGTTTTACTAGCTGAAGACACACCCCATAAAGGGTTAGATGATAATATAAAAACACATTTCTTTCTCCAAGAGGACTCTAAAGATAAAATGGAAATAGAGTGTGTGGATAATCACAAAACTGGACGAGAGGATACTAGAACTCTTGTATTAAATTTCAGATGGCCTCCATTTGCAAATGATGACATCCATGTGCCTGGGACATCCAAAAGCAGTTTGTCTGATAGTCTTGTATGTGTATCTGAAAAAACCTTGCCAGGACATGGTAATAAAAGTACACCCCTCACGATGTCTGAAGTAGGGAAAGTACATAAGATGGATACTGAAGTAAATATGGGAAAAATTGAGCTTATACCTTCCATGTTAGAAATGGGAAAAACATGTAAAAAGGATGCTGACTTGAATATTATGAAACGTGAGGCAGTCCCTCCTATGTCAGAAATGGGAAGAGCACATGAAAAGGATGCTGAATTGAATACCATAAAAACTGAGCCCATAGCTGACATTTTTAAAATGCATGAAGCATACCAAATAGATTCTGAGAGGTATATTGAAGAAACTGAGGGATTACCTACCATATTAGAAATGGAAAAAGGTTGTAAAACAAGGGATACTGAAAGGGATATTGGCAGAAGTGATGTGATGCCTATTATGTCAGAGGTGAAAAATGTTCACCAAAAAGATGCTGAGGTAATTTATGGAAAGACGGAAGTGAGACCTGTTATGTTAGAAATGGAAAATATTTACCCAAAGGATGCTGAAGGGGATATTGCAAAGACTGAGATGACACCCGTTACATTAGAAATGGAAAATATTTACCAGAAGCATGCTGAAGGGGATGTTGGCAAGACTGGGGTGACATCGGTTAGGTCAGAAATGGAAAATATCTACCAAAAAGATGCTGAGGGGATTACTGAAAAGGCTGAGGTGATACCTGCTACATTAGGAATGGAAGATTCTTACCCAAAGGATGCTGAAGGGGTTATTGCAAAGACCGAGGTGTCATCTGATAGGTTAGAAGTGGAAAATAGTTACCCAAAGGATGCTGAGGGAGATGTGGACAAACCTGAGGTGATGCCCATTATGTTAGAAGTGGGAAATATCTACCAAAAGGATACGGAGGGGATCACTGGAAAGACTGAAAGGCCTATATCGGAAATGGAAAACACTTACCAAAAGGGTGCCGAAAGGGTGATTAGGAAAACTGAAGTGGTACCTTTTGTGTTAGAAGTGAAAGAAGCACACAAGAAGGCAGGACCTGCCTCCTTAGAAATTGGAAAAGCATGCCAGAGAGATGCTAAAGAGACAAGCGGAACGCTTGTGCCCATGCTCTCTGTGTTAGAAATGGAAAGAACATCCCCAGAAGACTCTGATGGGACTATCAGGAAACACAAAGAGTTATCTACAGTCGTAAACATTGAGAAAACGAATGAAACAGGTCTGGAATTGCCCATTACACAAGCAGAGGCCATGCCTCCCATATTTGAGGATGAAAAAGCATCCCACGAGTATACTGAAGTGGGTGTTGGAAAAATGGAGGAAGAGCCCACTGGAATAAAGGAAGGCTTAATGGTGCGTGACAGCAGACTCACCTCCTATTTCAGGGGATATGAATCACCTACACTAAGTAAGGATTATGAAGGCTACCCATCCTTAGCAATGCCGAATTTTCAACCTGAGGCCATAAGAATGCTTGACAAAAAAACATCTGTTACTGCAGTAGATGACAAAACCAGAGATCTACATTATAACAAGGAAAGAGAAGACTCAAACTTAGCCTTCGTTTCTCAGGATGAACAAGAAAATTCTTCCTTTACTATCTTATATGAGGAACCCCTCCAAGAGGAGGACAAACATGCTACCACAGAAGTCAGAAGGACACACTCGCTCTTGTTTTCTGATACTTCTGCTGACAGCATGCCTGTTCTTGCATGTGAAAGGTCTGAGAGCAGAACTGACCTCGTCCATCATTTTGAAAAGGATACTAAATTAGGTGAGACATTTGGTAGTGATAGTTCAGAAGTGTTCTTATCAGTGGAGGCTAAAAGGTACAAAATTTATCCCTTAGCCTTGTCTCCCATTTATGAAGATGACAGCTCTCAGGAGGACATTCTGTCCAGTGAGGTGTCACCTGGACATCACAGCTCCACAAAATCAAGAGAGAGTGCATACCAGCCCTCTTCTGTCTTATCACTTCTCCAGTCAGTATCAGAGCGTCTGAAGATGAATTTTGATGAAGATGATGGACAGGAGGTAGGAGGGGAGAGGGAAGAGGAGGAGGAAGAGGAGGAGGAGGAGGAGGAAGAACCATTGCATAAAGGAAGTCTGAGAGCTAGAAGGAGGGAAGCCATTACCTTCAAGCTGCCAGATCCTTCCATCACATTTTACCCTGATGATGACCAGGAAAGGACTGGACTTTCTAAGAATGCATATGTAATGTCAAATGAACCTACTACCTCTAATCTGCAAATTGGTCTGTGGCCAGAAAAGGCCTTGTTTCTACAAAAATCTGACCTTACTTCTAAGTTACATTCTTCTTTAAAGAGTGCTTATCATCAGTATTTACAGACTTCCAAAACCCATTCCTTGGAAAAAGGAGCCAGATTTGGTGGGATTTTTCATGAACCAGCGTCAAAATACTTCCATGCTCAGGACAACTCAGGCAGATTAAGCCCGTTCACGGAGGTGAGTGATTTTGATGATTAACTAATGAAGTAGTGCTTTGGTTCATAAAATGATCTCAAAGCTTATTAAGAAAATCAGTGTTTTGAGGTTGTGTAAAGATTATTTTAAAAAAATGAGAGATTAGGGGCTGGCCCTGTGGCGTAGCAGATAAGTTCATGTGCTCTGC